TGCCCCAGCCCCGCCCCGCCCCCTCCACCTGGGGCCCAGGAGAATTTTTTGGCTCGTGAGTTTAGGCTTTTCACCCATTCAACCCCAAGATATGCATGTAATCGAGACCACACACATGCCCACAGCGATACCCGTGGATCCAGCAGTCTTGGTTAACCGCTAGTTCTAAGCCTTAACCTCAAAGCCAAAGATGTGTCAGAAATGTGGTCATTTCTCGAAATGCCTTGGCTCTGTAGTTGTCATTGCTAGATCGATACGTGAAAGCCGGTGGCCGTGTTTTCAGTCTGAGTATTACTCTCTCTCCACACTTTAAAACCCTCCCAGCTCTACTTTCATGTTTCTCTCCTTAACACCACCACTGGAAAAACTTGACAAAATACAATTGAAGTGAAGGATTTCAGGTCAAACTGCTTTTAAATGGCAGGTGTGAATTTTACAGCATCTTTTGACATTGATAAAAAAGAAAGCATGTGTCAAACCTTCAAATTAACAGTCCACAGATTTTTCTCTGATGATAAAACAAAGCACATTTTTTTTCTGAAAAAACAAAATGACTTGAAAACATACTGCCTACAAATAATTTACCACGCTTCTGCAGGATGTACTTTGTTCCTGAAAATCCAAGACAGGGGTTAATTAAGAGTGCTGGCACCATGTGTAGTTGGGTTCCAGCCCCAGGTCTGTCAACCTGCTGCTTCAAGTGTGTGTTCGGTCAAGTGACTGTCCCCTCGGGATTACGTGTAAGACTGGAATAATCGCGCCCCGCTAGGGCTGCTGTCGGGAGTGAGTAAGACAATGCATGGGGCGTGCCTGGCGCAGTGCCTGGCGCAGGAGAAGCCCTCAGTAAACAGGGATGCTGCGGTTTCTGGTGATAGACCCAGGGCGGAACTCCAGAAGCAGTTGTTGATCATCTGCTTATCAGATGCCTGATGTGGATGAGGAGCCATGAACAATACAGAGCTGCGTTTCTCCAAGTGAGTGCTGTGACCTGGGTGCTTACTAGCGTCGGGGTCCAGGAACCTGTGTTTTTAACAACGCCGATGCACATTAAAGTATGAGACCCACTATTCATCTGAGAGCTGGTGAAGCCCCAGGCTGGGGTCAGGAGTCCTATATTTTCTTCCGGTTCTGAGTTTCAGCCACGTAAATGCAAATAAATTATTTATTTATCCCCATCCCTTCCCCTCTTTTTATCTGCTAAGGGGGAACCTGATTATGAGGGTAAACCTAGTAATTATACAGTACTGCATATTTGAAAGGGGGCATGGGGGAAGGGTATAGCTCAGTGGTGGGGTGCATGTTTAGCATGCATGAGGTCCTGGGTTCAATTCCCAGTACCTCCATTAAAAAAAGTAACTAAAAAAACCCTTAATTTCCTACCTGCCCCCCCAAAACCAAACAAAATTATTTTTTTTAAAAGGTGGTATAAAATATTTTCTAAAAACTTTAAAGCTTAAGATGTTAAAAAAAAATCAATGGCTACTAAAAGCCTCCTCTGTAATGCTTAGTAAAAATATCCTGTTCCTCTTGGCAGAGATGAAGATGCTGAAATGCCTGAAAAAGATGGACACTTGAAGGATTTATGGCTGAGCACTCTTCTATCTGCTTGGTATGATTAAATTGAAATGACTAAAGTGTACAAATGAGACTGGCAGGGTGCTCTGAAAGACCGGGGAGATTTTCTCAGACCTGGAAAGAATTCCATATCCAGGGGCAATTCCCTTGTTGGAACACAAATACAAGGTTACTCAGAGGGACCGGTTGACCAGTTGGCTGATTCCAAGTGTGCTCTATTTCTGTTTTTTCTTGTTCTATCCTTTTAATCCTTTGCTGCCTAGGATGGGCAGCCCCTGCTTTTTGCAGCCCTGACAGTGAGCACCCACCTCTTTGGCTCATTCATTCTTCTCTGCCTTAAGAAACAAATGACCCTCTGATGAGGGGCAGCTTAGCTTTGTCAGAAAACAATGACACAGTTGACCACCTAATTGTAGGTCTCCATGCCTAATGAGCATGTGAGTGGGAGGAAGTACTTTATATCAGAGCTGAAGCACAGTCTTGGAAGATCCAAGCATTTATTTGAAAAGCTCTGAACACCAGGCATGATCATCTCAATTACTGTGCATGCATTCGTGACCAATGAAAGGAAGTCCCTGTTGTCACTCCATCATGAAAAAAATCCCTAGGCAGGAAGGCTGCCAGGGAGGCCTGCCTAGCTGCTGTGGCAGGAAGGACGGCTTTTTACCTTCGCACTTTCTGGATACTCTTCTGGGGTTCGGTGCAGCAAGACGTGGCCTTTGCTGGGGATATTTAGGTATATACAGTTTGCGGCCGTGTCGTCAGGCACAGTGAGTTTGTCGTAGCGGTGGTCACTCATCTGCTGCATGATCTAGAAAGAGACACAAAGCAGGCCTGAGCAGAGCATCTCCCACACCTGCAGCCTGGAGGGCAGTGTGGTGGGGCACAGCTTGCAGTCCGGACCGAAAAATGTTCCTCGGGGTTGAACGTCCCGTCTGTTACCTCCAGTCACAGAACCAGGAGAGGAAAACCGGATGTAGCTGTGAGTCTCTGGAAGAATTGTAAGGGTTCTTCTTGCTCTTTTAAAGGTATGTGTTTGTCTCTAAATTTTTAGAGGTTTTAAAAGTATTGTTTATTTTCCAGGGTATGTTCATGAGATCTACCAGAAAGACATACAGACAAGAGGCCCAGCTGGGCTTTTGATGAACCCTTGGCTGAGGAAACAGGGCTTGCTCTGGTCTATAGGGGAAGAGGACCCAGAGCAGTAATCAGAATGGTCAGTTATCTGATTTAGCAAGAACTGCACACACACACACACAACACACACA